CACGAAGCCGGCTTCGAGACGCCAAGCGGAGACAGACACGAGTCCGCCTTTCCAAGGAAGACCCGTCAACACAGGCCAGAAGGGGCTCGTGCAGAAGATCGACAGCGTCATTACAGCGGCAGCAAGGATCGTTCTACCTGTCTGGAGGACAACGCCAACCAGTAGCCTCCTCCGAGACGCCGGCTTACCGTCAGCCAAAGTCGCCTTAGAAGGCGTCCGTTTACGGGCCGCAGTCCGACTACAGAGGATTGATCGCCGACACCCGCTAGTCGCGCGGCTCTCCCAGCAGGGACAGCAACAGACGAGACTACAACGGACGGCTGAACTTCTGCCAAGATGCGGAAGACCAACGTTCCTCCAATCACAGTACCTGCCAAGCTCACAGGATCAGATAGTAGTTCAATGCAAAGAAGAGGCTGCGAAAGCTTTCGAGCGCTGGCTAAAGACAGTACCGGAAAGCCATATGATCGTCTTCTCGGACGGCTCCAGGGCGACGAACGGAGCCGTGGGGTACGGCTTCGTCATCTACCGAGACTCCAAACGCATAGCGCAAGGGTGCGGCCGACTCGGACTAGCAGAAGTGTTCGACGCCGAGGTCGAAGGGGCGCGAACCGGCCTCAGAAGGGCTCTGCTCACCAATCGCGGTCATCCAATCCACATATGTATCGACAACACCAGCGTTATACAAGGCATCCGCGGCAAGGCGCCGGACTCGTCACAAGACGCGTTCCTCGAAATCCAAGAAGCGGCCAGGATATTTGATATACGGACGCACTGGTCCCCGGGACACCAGGGCATCGAAGGAAACGAGGCCGCGGACCGGCTGGCCAAAGAAGGAACGACACTGCCGGCGCGGATGGGTCAAATGGCAACACTAGCGGGCATCAAGCGGCTTGCAAGGGAAAAATTACAAAGCCAGCACAGGAGATGGTGGTATAAAGAGCGAAGGCCGCGGTACGCGGACTTGGGGCTTGAGGCAGCTCTGTCCAGCCCTCCTGAACTGGCCTTGCCGCGGGCTACGTTACATCACCTGCTGGCGGCACGATCGGGTCACGGGGACTTCGAGCAATATCACCGACGTTTCAACCACGACGACGCTCTAATGATGTGCTCTTGTGGAGAGGCGAAAGACGTGGACCACCTGGTCTACTGTCGACTAACGCTGGCGAGGAGGCAACGGTGGCCGACCCTCCACTCTCGCAGTATGCCCGAGCCCATAGGTCCTATGGGATCTCTCGAGGCCTACTTCAAGAGATTAATCACCGACCCACGAGGCTTCGAGGCCTTTCTCCGCGTGACGGACTTCTTCCAGAAGATCTGTCTGCGGTAGCAGCATCCACACCTAGGTAGATGTGAGTGCGGACTACAAAGAACCTCCCGATTCCAAGGGACGATTTGGGAAAGAATGAAACTGGGGCACCAGCGGGAACCGGGGACAGACAGAACGCGTAGTGGCCACAAGGCATGATTTGGAGGACGATGTAAAGAGACGACGTACTGTAGAGTAGGTAGCCTTGGCTCACGGCCCTCCACGCCATATACCCTTCGGGAGGTCTGCGGTAAGGGCTCTAGCCCGGCCGCCACGGCGTTAAATACAACAACAACAACAACAACAACACGCTGGACGCTATTTACGAAGACAAAACGATGCAGAGCTTGTTCACGGCGACCGACCCAGAGATACACAAGGCTCTCAAGCGACCAGTGGCACAGAAATACTCCATGACATCTATTCGAACCCTCGAGTATCTGGTGGATCCCTGTACAAAGATGTTCACGGATGCCATGACCGATATGCAGGGGCAAGTGGTCGACTTGGGCGCATGGGTTCAGTGGTACGCATTCGACGTCATTGGTGCCATCACGTTCTCCCGCCGCTTCGGGTTCATGGAGACCCGGTCCGATGTCAATGATGTTATTTCTGGCATCGAGACCGGGCTCATGTACGGCGGTATCATTGGGGAGGTGCCTTATTTGCATAAGTTTCTCCTGGGTAACGTCACGTTGAGGAAGGTGATGGAAAAGCTCGGAGTTCCAGATCCGTTGCCAATAGTTATGAATGTGAGTTACGAGCATGAGTGCCGTGTATCCTTGAAATCTTTCTTCTGAGCGTGTCTAGCTAACCTCAAGCTACAAAGATGGTGATGGAGGGCCTCGAAGATTACGATGCCAAACAAGACTCGTCTGAACGAGGAGATTTCCTGGCGTATTTGCGACGAGAGCAGGCGTCTACTGGCGAACACATTAGCACTCGAGATATGATGAACCACTTGATGGGAAACCTGTAAGAGAGAAAGAATGCTCTGCAAAGTGGCCTGCACTGACTCTAAGACCAAACAAGGCTGGCTGGCAGCGATACGACTGGCATCGCCCTCCGAGCTCTTTTCTACTATGTTTTGCGTGACAAGCGCGTGTATGATATCCTACAAAAGGAGATCGACGAAGCACAAGCAAAAGGAGAACTATCGCCCGTGGTCACGTTCGGCGAGAGCCAAAAGCTCGAATACCTGTAAGTCCATTCATCAACCTGGGCCTTTATGATCCACTCTCCTAATGTTGAGACAACACACAGCCAAGCATGCATCAAAGAATCTATGCGGATGCACCCGGGCGTATCCTACCCCCTCGAGCGCATCGTCCCCAAGACGGGCGCCGAAATCTCTGGGTTCCACCTACCGGCCGGCACCATCGTAGGCATGAACGCCGCCGTGATCCACCGCGACCGCAGCATCTTTGGCGACGATGCCGATACCTTTAGGCCCGAGCGCTGGCTCAGCGACGACATTGACGCTGTCAAGATAATGGACCGGCATAACATGAGTGTACGTATGAAGCTTTTGATAAAGCTAAAGCTATCTCGAAGGAATACGCTGACCATTTTCAACGGTATTTATAGTTCGGTGCTGGTGTACGTACTTGTATTGGCAAGAATATTTCAATCATGGAAGTTGGAAAGGTAGTGCCTCAAATATTGAGGCAGTTCAGCCTCGAATGGGCGTCGAGCGAGACGGAGTGGCAGGTGACGACGTATTGGTTTGCGAAGCAGTCGGGCTTGCTGGTTCGGTTCAGCCCACGGACGTCGGAGATCATAGCTAGCAAGGAATGAGGCACTGGCTAGTCAAGATGTGGCAATATTATGTGCGGATATACATTTGCAGTTCTTTGGAATATTAGTGTGCGATGTAATGCCTAGTACTTAAATAAGCTGTGAGTCTGTGACGAAGCTCGGCATTACTGTAAAAGGAGACCTTAGTGTAAGTTTGGCTCATACGACGTAGCTCGATCGTAACCTTCGTTATGCAAATGGGTTGTTCAACTAGGCTCAGAACTGTTACAAATGTAATGCGATTGTTTGATCATCAAAAATGAATTCAGTGGATAAAGTCCCGGGCCGCTCCTAATTGCCGAGGCCGAAACAAAGACGTCAGAAAGCGAGGAAGTACGAGAGCCCCATGGAGATCTCCCGGCACCTCCACAGGCTACCCCGCAAAAACGGGATCCCTAAGCCTCTTCGGGCCCTCTGCATATGTCCCGCGACCTACAGCACGAAACGCCGTGTCCGTCTAAATACTTCGTAGCAAGTAGCTTCGACTTCTGGGACTTCTTTGGTCTTTTGCCGAACAATTTGTTCCAAATTCGACTCTGGAAACTTCTGGCCTTATTCTTTATCTGTTTTGAGGACGTGAGGTCATGATTTGGGGTGTCATTGAGCTATCTAGGATCTTGATACACTGGAGGCCAACGGCTACCGAGTTCCCGTATCGTCATGTCTTCCGAATCGCTTCAGATTCCTGGAGCCGATCACCTTACCTCAGGAAATGCCTCGAGTCATCCGGAGTCAGATGCGGGAAAGCTGCGAGTCTGTGACCACTGTAGAATGTTCGTTGTCATCCTCCAACTCCCGGCTGCCCCCGCCGAAAAGGACGCTTCTGAATTGACACCATCTGCGTAGAAAGAAAATCAAATGTAGGAGATCGAGCCGCTCCTAGACTGTGGTACTCATCTAGCCATATAGCCTTGATTAACAGCGTGAACGCGGAACAGGTGATCAAGTCCGTCCTGCTTGTGGCAACTGCCAGACGCGTCTCGTAAGCTGTTCGTATACCAAACGAAGAAGAAAACCAGGTAAGCGTGTAACCCAAAGGTTTACTTCGACTTGATTTTCTAATACGTACGTGTTATAGGGCCTCCAAAGGGATGTACAAAAAGACTCAAACGCTCGACGTTTACTGGGTCGACCGCCTCTTCTGAGCGCAGCTCAAGTGGTCGAGTCCCGGACACCACCATCTGCACCGACGGCTCAGATTATATAACATCTAGAGCTTCGAATCGAATACGAACTAATGGTGATGTTTCCCTGGTGTCTTGGCCTGAAAATGTCTTGGGAAGACCGCTATCATACGGCCCAAACGTCAGCCTCGAGATAGAAACTTACCTGTGAGCGACAGCACTCATCCCTGAGGAAACATCAAGCGAGAGACGAGGGACTAATAGAGCACTCAAGCTTGGATCTATACTTCAAACACATCCAACCAAACTATCCTCTACTCGATACTTGTCCAGACAGACGACTCAGAAGCGCGCTGCACATGTCGTCGCGCCTAAAAATGGCCCTATTCACCGTGTCATCACGATTCGCTACCCCAGGCGTCATGCCATGGTCACCAGAAGATTTTGCTCAACGAGCAAAATGCCTCTCAAACGACTCGGAGCTGAGCGTGGACGAACTGAAAGCATCTTTCCTTCTCTGCCTCCACGCCATGTCCGACTCCTTGACGTGGGCGACTGTCACCGAGACCACCAAGATCACCAGGATGGCTGATCTGTACTACACGATGCGTCTTGGAGGACAGCGCAAAGAGTCTGGCAGGAACTTTCATCGCAACGACGAAGAGGACGCTGGCGGTGGGGATGGACTAGCAGCGAGACGACGGGACGGGGCTGACGACTTGGATGCTGAGATGGAGGAGTGGAATAGGGTATGGTGGTGCATCTATCGCCTTGATTCCTGCTGTTGTGCTATCACGTAAGTCACGCTTTGACAAGCCTGGGAGATCAGCTCTACTGTGCTGACGCGGAGGCTTTTAAAGTGCATCACCAAACGCCATCTCAAATCGCCTCGAAGAGAAGATCAAGCTCGCTTCTGAACCACCCACCGAGTCCATCACACAACCATTCTTTGACTCAGAACAGAATCAAGACCTGTCACAGCACGAATCTCGGAACCGGTCAACGCATACGAAGGCCTGGCGGACGATGAAAACCATCTTCTCTCAACCAGCATGCACGAACCAGGCACTCTATCTCGGCGTATGCACCTTCGTGAGATTCGTCACAGAACTCAGGTCCTTAGTGAAATGCAGCGGCACCCGAGGCCTCGAAAACCGCCTGCGAGAGCTCGAGAGCGATAGCGCAGCCACGGCCTTTGCCTTGCCTTCATGGTACTTTCAGCCTGTTAGGAACCTGAGCGTTGGCGAGACTGGAGAAGACCACGCGTCTCGGCTGAAGAATCTGCTAGTCTGGTCGTGGTAAGCACTGTGATCCTCACTCGATACCGTGCCCACATGACATCGGACCAGTGAAGCTAATGATTTCAGCTCCGACTTGCTACTCGCAATCTGTGCCGTGGAGATGAGCAGCTCGTCGACCACAGCTGCTCTCGATCTCACAGCACACTGGCACTCGATCTTGGCCAAGGCAAACGATGCCGCCGAAGTCGTTGGGAAATGGAAGCCTGCCTACCTTGACGTCGTCGACCCGCTGTGCTCCTATATTGTTCTTTTGGTTGGCGCAATCTTCTCTTTGCAAAGGGCGCTCTCGTCTGAGATATCCCTTTACTCCTCCCAGCTTGATCTGCTGGAGTTGTTCCTGGAGCAGATAGGGACTCGTTGGCCTATTGGTGAGTATCGCTCCTATCAATCTCTTTCACAGCCCCTTCTTTCTAACATATTTGGGATAGCAAACCGCCTCGGCAGTAAGTACCTTTCCTTCATGGCTTCCGAAGATGAACAAGCTGACCCAAAGGACGGAAAAGAATCACTTCAATCCATACAGAGAAACCTATCTTCAGGAAAGTCTACTTGTACCCTTGAGACGGCGCTCACCTATGTCCGCCAGTTGACTCACCCTTTCGATGGCCAACCTATCCACCCTGTCCTGAAAGGTGATGTCTCAGGAGCTAGCACATCGGGATCTACGGAGGCTAGGGAAACAGGCAACGGAGGCTACCCGGCAAATACATATGAGGAAGGATATGGTCATTACTATGACCTCGACGGTATTGATTTCACGAGTCTGGAGAGAATTTTCGGCGACATGGACCCGATGGACATGCTGCTCCAGGCAGGTAGCTGAGCAGAGGCTGGATAATATGATACCATAATAATACAGTACATTGGTTATGCATTATCTAGGACCGCAAGCAATCCTACATTCACAGCAAGAGGACTTGAATTTGAGCTTGGAAGGACCACTAACCATTTTACATGCTCAACAGAAGGCAGGGCTCATGGCGAGGATATGGGATGAACTCAAGTCTCAAGTTGAGGGCCGCATAAGCTCTAGGACGGCGGGAATGCCATCTGGTGACAGGTGCGCCACATCAGATGCTGCGCATGAGAACCTTTGTGCTACCTGTGGAATGTTTCGAATAGCTTTTTTTTTTCTGATCTAAAACAAACATGTGAAAGAGAGGCTGTTCAGCGCATGAAGGGGAGGGCGGCGACTTTGTTGGCTGGAGTGACAAGCCAATCATCTGTTGTTTTACATCCCATTGCCAGCATCAATATGTTGATCCTGGGGGGTTCCAAGCAATTGAGGGAACGAGAAAGCTTTGTCGGTCCGTTGTTTGTAAATTGCAGCTAGGGGCAGATGAACGTGCTCGGAAACATTCATTTGCATTGTTCATTCGCGATCTGTCACGGACGATTCCGTTGGGGCTCTGATGATAAGGGCATGAACATGTCTGGGGGCAAAAGGACGGGAGTTAATTAGGTTCAGGGGGAATGATGAGTTCAGATTATCGTAATCCCGAGGAGGCCGTCGTTACGAACTGTATTGGGAGGCCTCATATTGGCGAGATGAGAAGATGAATGACGGGAGATATTGAAGAACAGAGTGGAAGAGTGAGAATCGGGCAAGATGCCTCAAAGTTTCAACTCAGTGAAGCTCAGAGTGACAAGTCGCTGACCAATCGATAAACACTCTCATACGAGTATTGGAACTCAAGGCATCAAACATGTTCGTGCCCATGACCAGCTTGCACTGCATACCTAGCATGAACGACCTTATTGCAAGCGCCCCTTTCCGTGCCGTGCCGCGATGGGTGGCCAAAGCTCTCGATGCAACCATAAAGAAATCTTTTTACATTATTTCTTTCATTCAACACTGTAGAACAACGTTCCTGTTTTGGCGGCTGAAAGGGGGCGCCGGGCAGGAAAGGGTGCGAGCGGGAGTGAAGGCCAGGCATACGCGCGTAAACCAAGGAGGTTCATCCCAGGCGCGGGAACGCGGAGCGGGTACGGAGTATCATGAAGTGAAAATGTCAGGGAAGGGACTTGTTGTGTGAACAGCCTTCTTGGTTTTCCTGGTGGAAGAATTGGGCGGTGGGTGTCCGGTCGGTGAGAGGGCATCCCTGGTTGTGCTACTAGGGAAGTTTGCGGCAATGAGTGGACGATTGAATTTGGGGCCCAGAGTCTTTGCTGTAGTCCATTCTCATGTTCCACGTGCGGCAAGACTGGGCTCAAGTGCCGACCCTATGAGTGAGAGCCTGGGTAGACGACAGAGTCGATGGGCAGGTGAACCATGAGGTCATTGCATTTTTTGGGCAGTCCCAAGGGATCGTCCACGTTCTGGCGATCCAGGGAAAATCAGGGACTGTGCATGTTTAGTGCAGTTGTAACGGCCAGGACTGGCACGACGTCACGGTCGGTTGGATGGTCGGTATAGAGGATCGACGGGGTTTGGGCTGGCACGCTGGCTAGCTTCTCATCAGACGGTGTGTGAGTGAGTGAGCGGGTCAGCGGGCGAGCGTGTGCCTTTCATCTTTCCCCGACTCTCCGAAGGGCTCACTATCAGCAACCTTGGGGGGACTGGCGGTCAGGTTTTTGGGGGCGTGTGGTGCGAGTGTGATGTGTGTTGTGTGATTTGTGGTGCGTGATGTGACCTTGGACGATCTTGGGCGCCTGATGAGTTGGCATCCTTTTTTGGCACGTATACGCAATCTTTCTACCCGTCTTGGGGATCCGCGGCGGTAAGACCTTGGCTTAGATGACTGAGGACTGAGACTGGACATCTGAAAAGAATGGCAGTGGCTACGGCTCTGGCTTCGGCAACATCGTTCTACTTTAGAGGAACTTGTCCGAGTGGCACAATTAGAAATATGCTTTTTGATAGGGACGATGAGCTCTATCCATGATTCCATATCCGTCCGAATACAAATATCTGGTTGAGTCATGGTCCGGCGCGGCCCTCGGGATGCGGTAGCTGGCTAGCTGCCGCGGAATCGCGGATGACCAAAAACTGATTTCGAACAAACCAACTTGGACGCTTCGGATCCATATGTGATTGGGCAACGCGTTGGTTCTTGTCTCTCACGAAAGATCCTTGGCTGCCCCTGAAGGGTGCTTAGGTCAGCCCTAAGACTTGGGCAACTAAACATGTGTGTTCAGGGCGACAGTGGGAATCTTAATGGAAAAGGCAGGTATGGCGCGGACAGCCCAGAAGGCAGATGAAGAGAGACCCGATTAACTGCTGACGGCGATCGGGCCCGGGGTTCTTTGGGTTCCCGTGCCCCGCGGCACTAGTGGTGAGATGAACAGTGGACTGGAGGACGAGTGAAGGTCAGGCAAGGCGGAAGTCAATATCGCCATCTGTAAATGCACATCTTCCGTGTTTTGAGCCTTTCTCGCTGCTGTGAAGCACTACTATCGGGGGGAAAAGTGTCTTTATGAGGCTTGAGTAAGTCTACTGTTCCGCTAGACGTACGTGAGCGCTGAGGACATGCCGACTCCATTTCCACAATCTCCATCGTCTTGTTCGTCATCCTGTCTATTCGGGAACAGAGACTCCAGAGGATCCGTAGCTTTGCGACAAACAGAGACAATTAAAGGGGGATGACCAGAGGATGCAATGTCCCAACGTTTGGTGGTGCACCCCGCTCTGCAGGAGCATAACGAGGGTCTTCCAGCTGCGCAGGGGGAGTTTTCTGTAATCTGTTGCCTCTACCTATACGAAGCAGAGGGGAAGGGGGGCCCCTCAACGGGGCGGCCATGCATGCAGAGCGGCAGGTCGTTCATATTAAGGTGTTGACGGCGGGAATGGGATGGTTCTGGACAAGCGTGTCTGTATGCAACATGTCACGCGTACAACTGTCCGGGGGTATTTGATCCATTGCGGCTCCCGTTGGACCTTTGCTTTGGTGAAAATTGGCCCCTGACTCCTGAGATCTCGGGACGAGTTGAAAAGAGTACCCTGAACCTCTCAAGGCAGAGGGACGTTACCGTGTAAGGGGCGAGGCGAGAGGGATGAGACGCGAAGTCGATATACCGCCATCTGAGCACAATATCAATATCTAGCAGAGTGCTATCGAATGCATGTCTGATTTCGCGGCGGCATAGGGATATGCAGGAACACAATAGGAGTGTGGCTGTGAGACACACATGGTGGATCAGTGCAAAAGCCTAACTTTGGCAATGACGAGACTTGGTAATGGAGTGATGGGACAGGGAAATATTGGAGGTGAGGACTCAGGATTTCCAACTTCCACCTTCCGTCTTCCAAGGGCCGATGTGATGGCAGGTCGATTAAGGAGCTGCATGCACAGTGAGGCTCAGTCGACGATCCGATGCTACCTACTGGTGAGCATATCCACGTATCCACGCAAGAGGTCGTTGAATGGGGAGCAGAGGTGCTATGAATAGTACGGATATGAGAGTGGAAAAGGGGACCGCTTATGTACGTGTATGCAAGGACCGCGGGGTCTTCCGTCCCATGATTTTGACGTCTTATGGAGTCAGGGCCATGGTGGCAGAGAGGTTACTCCGGAAGAACTTCAAGAAATGTACGGAGTATCGACGGTCATCAGCGACTGGTGGCACATTTGGGGCTCCTTCAGGCCCCCCCTCCCCCTTCGAGACGCCTTCTACGGTCCTTGACAAGCCGAGATTGGATGCCGTGGCTTGGTGGTCGAATCTGAACCAGTTGGCCGGAAACACGGCGTCAAGCACGTCTTGGGCCTGGGCTGGGCGGCGGGACTTGCTGCTGTCCGCATGTGTTCTTGACCAGTGAACAGTGACCATGTCGGCGAGAGCGAGACGGGGGCACGGGGGGCCATTGGCGGAGGACGATTACCTAAGTGTGTCTAGCTTCAATATTTGGTGTACCTAACTCTGGAGGAGGAGAGGGACTGAAGGGCTCAGAAAGAGAGAGAGAGTGAGGCACAGAGAACAAGTGAACAAAAAGCGAAGAGGTCGCCGGCTCATTTCGAGCCCCGGCAACAGGACCCAGAGACCGGTGGGCGGCTAAGCCTGATTGGGCCAGGGACCCCAGCACGAGAGCCCCATCGTCGGCCACTCAGAGATGCGGACTTTTCTCTCATTTGGAGAGGGTGGATCTTCAAGTACCTCTGCATGCAATCAATGGTGGAGGTATACATACATACCTTATCCACCCACTCACCCAGCCCGTCTCCTTCCTCCATCCAGGAACGTGGCGCCTGGCAACCTAAGGTACTAAACCACCAGGAAGCTTAGGTAAGGCGCGGGAGGAAGTGTGCGACTGGGCAAACATCCAGCCGAACAGTGGATACCGCAGTACGTATCTATGTACTAGGAAGTAGGAACCTCTTGTACACCCGCCTCCCACTTTCATTAGGTTCTCTGCCAAATCGCCCACTGAACTGCCAGAGGACCAGTGTCTGTCTCCCGAGTCCCGCCCCTCTGCTGAACATCCTGCTTTCAGGTGAATTTGAGGTGGTAAACCTTGAGGTGGAGCACGCACCTCTTGAAGGACTGTCAATGGAAGATAACCTCCACTGTCCTGTCCACGTCGGGCTTCCAGCGTCTCTCAGTGGTTCTGTGTCGTGATCAGTGGTACCGGCGGGGGCCTGGTGGCTTTCTTTCAGTGGACCGGGCCGCCTGTTCGGCTGTTCCTGATGTGTCTCCAGCGTCTCCCTTGCGACTGATGAAGCCTGCCCACCTCACCTGTGACCCGTAGGCTCGTACCTTAAGGTACCTACTGGACACCATCTGTACTGCCCTGCAGGTCGTCTCTTCCACCGACGTGGACCCGTAACCTTGCGCGCTCTCGCCGTGTCGTTGACCTGAGACTTTCTCATCGTCAAAACCTCTCTTCCCCGGCTTTCTCTCCTACTCCCTCTCTTCAACCAACCGGCCACCACCACCCACCTCGTCTTATCATGCGCCGCGCCGCCGTCGAGACATGCCCGAGCCATTGATTTATCCTCTCCCGTCTCTGTCTCTGTCTCCGTCTCGACTCGCAACCCTCCACATCTTCTCCGACGCTTCCTCCTCTCTCTCTTCGTCTAGTCCTCCATCCCGACAAAGACGAACCTGACGACTTGGACCGCATAGTCAGGAGCGACGCATCGTCCCTAATTTCCGATCTTTCCTTCTGGTACTCGTCGATCTTCGCCATCGACAGCGACAACGTCAACCCCCCGTCAATTGCACACTTAGCGAAAGTACGATACCCCCCAAACCTCGACGATCCATACGAACAAACGGCCGCATTGATTCGACTTTTGCGTTGTTTTTTCTTTCATCGGAAAACAATGTGCTGAGGCTTTGCTCGGCCTGTTCTGTTTTTCTTTCTTTCAATCCAACAAACGAACGATCCAAGGACTCGATAATATCGCCATCCTACCGCTGATACCCCCCACGAACAACCAGGAGAAACTAGAGACAAAATAACGACATCGCTCAGAATAGTAGCAGTAGCCGTTTACACCCCCCGTCACATCCACTCCTACATTCAGCTACGTCCAGCCTCCCGACGTCTCGAACCCTGGCCGACCGACCATGCCCACCTACCTCACCCGCGAGAACGCCCCCGTCTACTCGCCAAATTCCGACTTTCTGGACCTCGACCCAAACAACACGCTTGATCTGTCTGACCGCAAGCACCCAATTGATGGGCTCTCCCATACCCTACCACTTCGCCCATCGCGCTCAAACAACCTCCATGATAGCTTCGACGAAAGCTCAACCTCATCAACCCACGCCTCAGACGCCTCTGATTCCATCCCTAATCAGATGAATGGGACGAGGCCGACTAGCATGAGCTCGTTGCCCAACGGCTCGGCAGGGGCCGGAGGAGGCGCAGACTTTGATTATCACGACCATGACTCTCATCACCACGACCAGTACAACGATTACAAGAATCAGAAGCATCCGCTACAAAATGGACACACCGTTACCATGCCCGACCGGACAGCTCCGCCGCCGCCCATCACTATCATCAAGAAGCCATCTTCCGATACCGAGCAATCGAGCCCGACCGATAACTACCTCACGCCGCCATCAATTGCATCGCCCGCGGCCGGATCCATCGATCATACCATAAAAACAAACGGTACCAGCAGTCCCAATTACGCACCTCCTGCAATACCATCACAAGGTAAACTTGCCAACGGCCACACAACGCCCGCGCCAGCACCCAGCAACGCATCACTGTCCCCAGATCCCACCGCCAATAACCAGCCGACATCACCGCAACGCTTCTCTTCTCCACCACTGTATCAATCTGGTGGTGCTACCCCCAACGGATCAACATCGACGGGTCTGCAACCGCCAAATGGCGGATTGAAGCATCGTCATACTCTCGAAGTCCCCGGTACCCAATCCAATCGCGCTTCCAAGGACGGCTCCGACACGGGCTTCTCTAGCGGTCGCTTCTCTCCCACAAGCACCACGCAAAGAGTGCGTAGGGCGTCCCTTAATCTGGTGCGGAGAGATACCCGCTCCATGCAGTCCGATGTACCGCGTGACGAGGTGGTACCCGACGAAGAAGCCCTGCGCTGGGCCGAGCATTATCGACAAAAGCGGGCGAGCAAGAGGAAGAGAAAGGAAGAGGAGGATGATGATAGAGTCCTGGTCGGCACAAAGGTCGACGAACATCACACCAACTGGGTCACCGCCTATAACATGTTGACGGGCATCCGTGTCTCCGTGTCCCGCACGAACGCGAAGCTCGACCGGCCCCTTACGGATGCTGACTTTGAGGCAAAGCAGAAGTCGACTTTTGACATGTACGTCAAATCCCGCGTTACCCACGTGCTTTGCAAGTTTACTAATTTTTTCAGTGCCGGAAACGAGTTGGTACCCTCGGCGAAGTACGATTTCAAATTTAAGGATTATGCGCCTTGGGTATTCCGACATCTACGCGGCCTGTTTCGCTTGGATCCCGCAGACTACCTCATGTCTCTGACGGGCAAGTATATCCTGTCTGAACTGGGTTCCCCTGGAAAGAGTGGTAGTTTCTTCTACTTCTCCAGAGACTACAAGTACATAATCAAGACTATCCACCACGCCGAGCACAAGTTCCTCCGCAAGGTCCTGAAGGACTACTACCACCACGTCACCGAAAACCCGAACACGCTGCTCTCTCAGTTCTACGGTCTTCACCGAGTCAAGATGCCCTACGGGAAGAAGATTCACTTCGTAGTAATGAACAACCTCTTCCCTCCCCACCGGGACATCCACACCACGTTCGACTTGAAGGGATCTACCATTGGCCGCGACTATAAGGAAGAGGACCTGGACAAGAACCCTCGAGCGACGCTGAAGGATCTCAACTGGATGCGCAGACAACGAAACCTCGAGCTCGGCATCCAGAAGAAGAAGCTTTTCTTGGAGCAGCTGCAAAAGGATGTGGTCTTGATGAAGAAGCTCAAGATCATGGACTACTCTCTGTTGATCGGTATCCACGATTTACAGCGAGGAAACGAGGAGAATCTTCGAGGAAAGACCCTTCAGGTCTTCAACCCCGGCGGCGAGCAAGAAGATGGCGAGCCGCCATCGGTTCTCTTGCGAACACCATCCAAACTGGAGAATGCTCGCAAGGCACGGGAGCTGCGCAACATGATCAGGCACGAACGGCCAGTGCCCATGGGACAGACTGCAGCTCAAATGCCAGACGAGCTCGATGAGGGGCATAGCAGGTCGGGATACATCTTCAACCAGGACGATGGTGGATTCCAGGCGACCCACGAGGACAACTCTCCAGCCGACGAGATCTACTACCTGGGTGTCATCGACTGCCTGACTCACGTAAGACTTCTTCCCACGCTTGCCGTTTCATTACTAACTTTCTGTATAGTACGGAATGATCAAAAAGATTGAGCACTTCTGGAAGGGACTGACAAGCGACAAGACCAAGATCTCCGCTCTTCCCCCTGAACAGTACGGCGACCGATTCTACAACTTCGTCGAGGGTATCACGATGTCCCCCGAAGAGGCGATTAGGGAGAAGCAGCGGAAGGACCAGGAGCAGATCGAGGCGGCTGCGGCTGCGGAGAGGCAGCGTGTTGCCAGCTGGAGCTCGAGTATGCGCCGGAGGTCGGGGACAAACAACATTCCCCCAATGCCCGACTACCGGCCTCCGCCAACTCCGCCTAGCGCTCCAATATCCCCCGAAGCACGCGAAACCGTCGAGCGAGCCCAGCAAGATGCCCGAAGATCCGAGAGACACGGGGCTTCCGAGCTCAACGTTCCAGATGTCGTCCTATCGACAACCAAGATGAACGAACGGCGAGAATCTGGTGGCCAAGGGGCTCCTATCCTGCCTGTAGTTGAAGAGGCAGGAGAGGCTTCGTCGCTTGGTGGCAGAAGCAGAGACGGGGCAGCGAGTCGTGATGGGGATGACCACCGACCGGCTACACCAGCGAAGCCTAGTATGGAGGGCAGATTCGCTGGACTGAGGGACTATGCGCCACCGACGCCGCCAAAAGGACATCACCTCAAGCCCGAAAGTCAAGACAGCGGCTACGGGGCGCTGCCAAACGGAAACGGTTCCACAATGAGCAGAGAGGACTCGCTTAACATCAAGCCTCGCCTTAGCAAGGACTCGCTGGATAAAGCCTTGCCGCCGCTCCCCAAGGAGGCTGGCGGACAGAGCAGCTTCCGCATGGGCCTTGCTTAGGGCGCAAGTCGCCTCTTGCGGAACAACAGCAGACGGATCCGCGTCGTTAGGAGTACGAGTGGGGGCAGTGACGATACAGGGAACGGCACGCGACGGGAAGAGAAGGGTGGATGAAGCATCAGCAGCAGAGAGGGAGAGAGAGACGGGTCGACAAATCAACAATTGCATCAACGGGGTCAATGACAAATTCTGCAAGCTCGTTCAACGAGGTCTCACAGCGACCGAGGCAACAGAGAGCCGAGACGAGTCACAGAGCTTTTTACTAGTGTTTTCTCTCATGGATGATACCACCATTGCATTGAGCATGCTTCTTTTTTTTTCAAACTTTCTTTTCTCTCTCCTCCCACCTTTTTCCTTGGGTTTTCTTATTAAACCTCTTTTTGGTTTTTTTTGTTGTTTTTCGCCCATACAGAATGTCTCTCATACATAAAGGTCATCACGTAAAAAATCATTGTTTTCCGCCCCCGGTGATGACCAAACTCTGCTAGGAACCAAAGGCAAAAGGGAGAAAAAAAGAATTAGGAGTCGGGATGGAATTGGTGGAAAACTTTATAGCGATATTCAAGAGGGCGCTTTATTCCCTTCCCATAATATGGATGGGGTTGGGTGCGTCTAGGTAGCACAAATAGAAGAGTCGGTTCTCAACTGTGTTGAAGTCAAGTCTGCGTTGTGATGTGTTTCTGGGTAACGTATATTCCTACGCGTTGGAAGCTAGCTGGGGCGTAAAGCTCATTGATGGCCAAGGGTTCTTTTCTTTTTTTGTCATTGTGGTTTACATTATTCAACAGACGTTATTCTGAATCCCGCCGGACCCCTGAGGAGAGGAGTATCTAGAAACACAGTGTTGTACACCAGCGAATGGTGGCTGGAGGAAAGAGAGGTTTTCTGGTATCAAAGGGGCCATGTACAAATGCTGACAACTCGGCGTCGTCAGACAGATTGGCCAGAGAGAAGGAGGCTGAGGAGGGGGAATCCTCCCATTTCACCCCCCAATCTGACAAGTCGTGGGGGTGGTGGTTGGTTCGTTCATATTGAACTTGTTTCTTTTGTTTTCTGCTCATTGCGCGCGCCCCCTTACTGTCTCCTCGAGGCGAGCATATCCTGCAGATCAACCTTTGTTGGCGTCGGTCCCTTAGAGGAGGAGGAGGAGGCTGAGGGCTGGTCGGCAAAGGTGGTGGTGACGTCCATCTTGATTGCGTTTTCGGCTTCGAGCTGGGCTATGCGCTGCTTCTTTTGGAGGTCTGCTACGCGCCATTGCTTGAAGTATTTTACCTAGAAGGTGGGGGGAGGTGTTAGTTTGGATATTGTTCAGAGTGAGGGTCTTCGTTCAAGGTCTCGGGGTTTGGCGTTTTCTTGTGCGTCTTTGTTGCGTGAACAGGTGACAGCTCTGGTCAAAGGTCCTGCCGCTGGGGTAGCAAGAAGCTACACCCGTGATCGCTGAAGGGCCCAAAGACGACTGCGCAAGGAGGAATGGAATCCGAATAGGGGGGATACGGCACATACCCAAGCAGCAGCGCAATCCCGCTCAAAGACCTGGTTCTCGGCGGGACACGCCTTGCGGGCTTTGGCGTCGTCCTTGAGGGCGTCGACGATGACGTTGCGGTCGAGGCAGCCAAAGTATGCGTCGCGGGCCTCCCAGCACTTGCGGCGTTCGCTGCGGTCCGGGGCGACTGCGCCTGTGCGGACTTCTTCGGCGCGCTTGGCTTCTTCGGATTGGAAGGAGGAGAAGAGGCCCATTGTGTCGACGAGAGAGGGAAGTTCAGGAGCTGTGGCGTGGGCGTCGGTGTCGGGAGGATCGGGAGGGGGTTGATGGAATTGTTCTGTCGGTGGTGGGTGCTCGAGGATGGCTTGGTTGAAGAAGCAGACTGTTGGCGTCAAGTGGGTTGATCTGGCGTGTATGCTCGGTGAGTGGCGGTTCAGATGAAGTCTCGAATTCTTGGATGACGACTTCTGTAGATCTTGAGCAACGCGGCGCGAAGTTCGAATTGGAGGGCCGGCAGAATACCGAGCGGTGGCCTAAAGTGGAATAATCCACTCTACCGGGGTGGCTCCGTCACGGCTCAACTCCAATGTGAGCCTTGCCTCATTCATCCTTAGCGCGGCGGGTGCCGATTGGAAGCTCTGCCGTTGCGATTCTAGGCAGGCACAGGCGCACCGGCGCGCCGCAAAAAACACAAGGCAAGTGTGGCGCACACTGGCCCAGCTGACGGGACTCCAGCCACCAAAACTGTCAACATCCCGCTGCTTCCCTTGTGGCACATCCTTCCAAACGTGACAGCTTGGACGAAACAAACTACTAATTACTTTGACATACGTACAAAAAGACGAAAACGATCCCTCCGGAGAACGAATCGACGCCGAGGTTTGAACTTTTAACGCAATCTCCCCAGCCTTTGATTGCCAATAGGAACGCAAGAGCTTATAAGCGGCCGCGGAGATTTGCTCCAAGGAAGAAGGGATTACGACCGGGGTGGTCTGGGAGTATCTTATTGCGAACCGCAAAGGAAAGCTCGATAATGCTCCGCCGGTAGCGAGATTCGCAAGACAAGAACAAGACAGAGCGCACGACTGTCTTTCGCAACGACACCTAGACAAACCTCTCTCTCCCTTCCTGCCGACGACGACCACCAAAACAACGACCCATTCAACCATCTCCATTGCTCCAGAAACCTGCTAGACGGTTCCCCGAAATCCGAAGCAAACAACCCTCCCAAACAACCGTGACCTCAACCCGCCATGCCCCGCCGTCGCAAGCCGCCCCGGCCAGGCGCCCTCAACGACCTGCCCCCGCTGCGCATCGCTTCGCAGATCGCGGCGCTACAAGGACTGTACTATGCCGGGGCGCTGGTGCTGATGCTCTTCTCGGCGCTCGTCGCTGGTACGGGGTTCACGCTGGATCTCGTGTTTGGGTGGGAGGCTGTTCGGGGAGATACGACGCAGGGGTGGTTGGGAGCTTTCTTGTGGGTTCTTGATGGGGGTTTTTGCATGTGAGTTCTTCCCTTCTTTTCCATCCTTCATACGGGATGTTTGGGCTGGTGGTTTGTGGCTCCCGGGAGCCTGGGGCTCGCTGGGTGGAAGGAGAAAAGGAGCGAGCAAGCAAGCAAGGGCAACGGCTTGAAGACCAGCGCTGACTTACAACAACAGGGCCGTCGCAATCATTATCCTCATCGGCCGTTCAAAGCTCGTACCCGACTTCGCGCTGACGATGCATGGTCTACACCTCGTCGTCACGAGCCTATACACCGGCCGCATACCACGGAACGCAATGTGGTGGGGTGCCATGGCGGCCAGCTCGGGTATCTGTGTGGCTTTGGCCGTTTGGGGGTCTAGATACCGCGAGCTGAGGCCAATATCTTTCGGTGGAGGAGGCGGTGGAAATATCGGGGGCGGTGCTGGGAGCAGTGGTGACGGCGCTGCGCAGAATGGTGGCACCGGCGACGAGGAGGATGGGCTTGGGTTCTCCAGGGGACGGGGACGCGGGAGAGGGAGGGATGGTGAGGGCGGGTATGAGATGGTCGGGATGGATCATGAGAGACGGAATTCTTGATTGAGCTGAGTAGCTTGGAGAGAGTAGGGTGGCAGCAGAAGGGGGGTTTGGACTAGCCGCGAGGCTGGAGGGTATGACATATCATTGCTTGGCGTTATCGGGATGTACGAGTATCGGAGGATAGACGATCAGGATTGTGTACAGTTCACATAGGTGTGATGACGCTGAAATAGACACATGGAAGGTCTTGAGATTTTTTGGTCTCGAATGAGCTGCGAAAATCTTCAGAGTCATTCTGATGCCGATTCTTCAAGGCTGCTGGTTATTTAACAGTCCAATACCAAGTTGCCTGAGGTCTGCTGAAAGCCTTCATGCGTAAGCATCTATTCAACTCACTGTATCTACATCATGTTCTACATTAGAGTCAAATCAATTACCTAGGCTATGCGATATCATTGTCACTGGGCTATACCACTGCGTTCCAGAAGCCCTTCCTTGATAGCGATTGGAGGGAGCTCCGCGATGACGGAGGAAGGCATTGCATACTGGTTCTAGAACAAGCGCTCTTGGTGCCCTTCATGTAAGGAGAAAAGAGTTACAGCAAGAGGAACTGCTGCTTCCACGTACCTTTACTGGTCATCATTGTGCTGGTCATTATGAGAAGTGGGTGTGAATTGACCACATCTATGAAGCGCAATAAAGCGCCATCTTGATTCTTCCGCTTCTGAGTAGCCTTCTCGGTGTAAGGTAGTCGCTTGTATCCGTTTGCAACAATCTGAGCGTCTAGAATTGGGCCCTGATCTCTCCACAGCCTATGTCAGTTGTCAGATGTGCACGCTAGAATCCATGTTCAAATGGCTTGCTTATCAAATTATTGAAAGGCTGTAAACAAGTGTAGTGAACCTTCAATGGAAATGGGAGAGAGGCTGAGGGTGTAAGCTCAGTCTCAACATCCAGCTCATGTGCGCCACTGACCTGCATTGGAAGGGCATCTGAGGCTGAATCTAGAAGCTGATGTCAATCTTCCATTCCGATATGTGCATTGTTGGAGTTACACCAGAGCTCGTAACTATTTTGGATCTCAGACAAGACCAATTGCAACCGCATCTAATGCTGACAGCTTGATGAGGATGGCGAATCACATATCTTACTACAAGCAAGGGGAGCGCCACAGCTACTCGCAACTCAAGCCTCGGCCCAAAGTGTTGGAACATGTCTCGCCATATAGGTAGCCATTCATATAAGTACCAGCCTCCCTCGGCCGAGCCTCGCCTGATCATGCATCTGAAAGCTTTACAGGAAGATTGATGGCGTCTTTTCAAGTGCTATGTACTCCCCCATCTTCCCTTCGATGCGCGGAGATCCGATTGCTTCTCGCGAAGAAAACAACGATCCAATAGAGCTGTCCCCTCGTCGCCCCGAAACACCCGCCGAAGGACAATGCGGTTATTCTTTCCAGGAGGCCAGAAACATGTCTACAGCCGACGAGCATAGGGCATTTCTTGCCCCTAGCATGGTAGATATCTCGGATCAGCAGTCTTTACACCCCGCCTCAGTCTCAGAGATATCCTCGCCAGACTCGGAAGAAGAGCTTTCCAAGCAGATGACCTCGAAGCTCGCTGAAAACGAAGTCCCGAACCACAATCAGCCAAGTGCACCACTAGACAGCGGGTTATCCGTCGAATGGATATGGTCAGTGTGGTGGGTGGAGATGTTCAGCAGCGTTCTAGCATTGGAGTGCATCTCTGCCATAGTCATTATCTTATCCGTTTACCGAGGACAACCTCTTCCCAACTGGCCGAAGCTCATATCAATCAACTCCTTTATCGCCGTCTTCACGGCTGTGTTCAAAGCTGCGCTTATACTTCCTGTCGCCGAAGGTAAGTCTCCGTCTCTCGTCGATGGGTCAACGGTGTGTGAGAAGCATGCAAACATTCTAACTTATGATGATCGTTAGGCTTAGGACAGTTGAAATGGAACTGGTTCGATAAATCTCAAACGCTAGGTGATCTCGTCTTGTTTGACAATGCGAGTCGAGGGCCGTGGGGCTCAGTTCTGTTGATGAAGAGATGCATTCTCCGGCCGAATATTAGAGGGTAAAATATGACCTCAATCATTGTTTGAGGTTAGCCTATTGACGATTTGACAGATATCTGGCTGGACTCGGTGCATTCATCACCGTTGCAGCCCTCGCAATCGACGCTTTTTCTCAGGCTACAATCAATCTTGGCTCTTGTAATATCACGACAGAGTTGGGAATAGCCGAAGTGTCTCGGACGAACAACTATTCGGGCATTCCTCAACAGCGCGACAGCTCCCTTGATGCTGCCCCCATCACCTCAAGTCAGAAAATGCGGAAGGCTATCAACAAGGGTCTTGTGGATCCTCCGAAGGCTGGGGAGCTGATAAACTTCGCGTGCACCTCTCGCAACTGCACTTTCACGCAAGATGGCGGAGGAGGCTACTTCTCGTCACTCAGAATCTGTTATTCTTGTAAATACATTACAGACAAAGCTATCCTCGAGATTTTCACCAATAAATTGGCACCCGCTTCCAATGTTTCGACGCGGTACCTTCCATGGAGCGAAAACAAGACTGATGAGAGGGTCTTCCAAGGGGAAGGCGGTGGTACACTTCTGACAATGACACCTACACCCAGTCAGGCGTACAACAACAGCTCGCCTCCCATTTACGGCTTCGATATTTTGTCGCTTGCATCTTTCAAGTGTGATTCATGTGGGCCTGGAAAGTCGCCGATGAACAGAAAATTTTGCAGCTCAATGCAGGATCGACCCCTGCGTCAAGAATTATCACGCCACGGTCACTGATGGAATTTATACAGAAAATGTGGAGGGCGGTGAACAGCTGCTACAAAGACGTCCCGCAACTTTGGGTGAATCCAGGAATGAGAATTCTTTTTCATTGCTTACGGAATCTGTTTTGGTTGACGGCACAGAGAAACAGTGCAAAGAAGTAGACGAAAGGGCAAGCAATTCTGTGCGAGTCGGCTTCAAGGATGGCAGTTTTAGAGAGATCTTTGACAACTCCACTGAGATCTCTCACTCAGAGAAACTCACCTGGAAGAGGTACCCGCAAGAATGCGTTTGGGTTGTAGACAGAAGCTCTTGGCAAGGGATGAGGGAGACGATGACTGAGTTTCTGAGTGGTAGAATGACCACTCTGGAGGCCGAATCATATCAATGGGTACAAGGTTCAGTCTGGGGCCAGCAACTGTTTGCATCCGGAAACGCTTCCATGTCTACGGTCAACAATGTGGTTGCCGGATTGGCCGACTCAATGACGGCTACGATACGTAATGATCCTTTTGGGACATCAGAGGAATTGCCTAAGAACGTACCTGCTAATCTCAAGGCGGCTACTGGGCATGTCATTATTACCCAAACATGCATTCATGTGCAATGGGGCTATATAGCATACCCCATAACCCTTCTTGCTCTGCAGTGGATATTTTCGACCCTAGTGTTGATTGCATGCAGTCAACGAAGGAGATCCGGGGATGGATCAGACCGTGCAGTCTGGAAGTCCTCCCCTCTAGCACTCCTCTTTCATGGCCTTGATGAGGACCTGCACGTCAGGAGTCAGAATCTTGAGACTGTCAGGCAGATGAACAACTTGGCAAACGATGTCAAGGTTCGTTTGGTGCCGATGAAGGAATCCCAGCGGAGTGGATGGCACTTCGCAGGTGTCTAAATATCTAGCATCATGCCTCAATTCTCGAATGATCAACAATGATCTCTTAGTGTGTATTCTGGCATCTGTGCTTATCCGCCGCCGCTGATGCTGCTTCCCTGTTCTGTATCCGTGATGTTCAATCAGGTCAAGACACCAGACACCAAAATCACAGCGCAACTCGGCTTGTGCATAAGTATGTTATTACATGCATTTGAACTGATTGACTAAGGCAATACTGGTATATTGGTATATGGGTAAACGTTACGCTATAAATCAATGATGCATCATCCCCTTTACTTCGAGTCAGATGCCTTGTTGTCCCTCGAAAATCAAGAAAATATTCAGTCTCGATCAATCACACAGTTACCCAGCCCAGTCGTTTGGTGATTTTGCCGAGATGAAGCAGCCGTAGCCTCGTAGAACATTGTAGCCTTTCAACTTCTTGTTCCTAGTGTAACATGTAACGTCAGTACTTCTGCTTCTCTATGACTTATGATAGAAAGTAGTCTAACCTGCGGGGCAACCAGTAATGCAGGTGTTGGTCTGGCCTGTGAGAGGTCCTTTGCAGCAGTAGCTACCGCCGAGTGGTCGAATGTGGTCATTAGAGACTGATTGTGTGCAACCGTTGCATGAACCGCTTCCGTCGGGAAAAGTGCAAGCTTTGAAACAGCCAAAGTTGGAACATTGACTTGTGCCAGTGGTAACCTGGAGGTCGAAGAGCTCGGTCTCGTCAGGGCCGCATGCCGCGTAGGCATGAGCTGCGAGGAGAGCAACGAGAGGAAGGAGTTGGAACTTCATTTTAGCGACGGTGGTTGTGATAGAGAATATTTTGGAGATGAGAGAGAATTTGAGATTTGAGTGATAGTCCAGCTGGGCGAGTTATGAAACTACGGTAGGATCTGTTGCCCTTTATACGGGATGCATCAATTATGGATAGTGGAACTTACAAGACTGACTTATGAATAGCTCCATTTGTGGACCTCTATGCCACCCTGCTCGATAGGGAACGCATAAGCGCCAGCTCGCAACTCGCATCGAATCATTTCAAAAGTTCCGTTTCGTAGGATACTATTCCCCGCGTTCGGCTTGGCTATGCCGTACGCCAGACCGCCTAAAGAGCGCATCACGTTCTACGCCTCTACGCAAGGGAGGCTGTGCACAATGATACGCTCTAAGGATCTCAAACAAACGGCCTAAGCTTCCATTAGTGATACTGAATCGTGCTACGAGTATCCCTACGGAGAAATCCTGCCCAACACCTCCTAAGGATCATGGTGCTTGAGTACAAAAGACGGGAATCGTAGGGGGCTTTTTTCAGTCGTAGTGAATAAAGTTCAACCCTCTGACTCCTGTTTTGTCTCTAGGCCCCTGGGAACTTGTCGCAGGGAAGACCACAAGGCGATACCATGGGCACATATGGGCCCATCCACGCCCAGTGTGTATCACGACTCATGACCGCCCTTGCTTGGCCCGGGGATGACCGACCGTCCCGTCCTTCGATGGCTACTGATCAGTAAATCCCGCCGGCACTGGCCTAGAATTCTTTCCTAAAGAAGTCCGAGGAAGTAATCCCTCCGTTCGGGAAACTCCCGATATACTACCGACCAGATGAACTAGGGGAATCTTGGCACTCCTTGTTTCGGTGGGACGAAATAGAGTTTGTGTCCCAATATCCAACCGGTAAACCGGTTTTGACGGGCGTGTAGAAACTACTGCCAGGGAGTTGGACTCCACGAATCGACAGGAATTGAATACGTGTATAACCCATTCTCCGGGCTCGGTAGAATCACTCGACGATCGCATCAGGTTTGTCCGAGTGAGTCGCACATGTATGAGCGCAGGGAGACAGTGACAACTTGCAATTTGCTGTCTGAACAGGCTCTCCATGAGTTTCCGCCAGCATCTGAGCCAAGTTAGCAGGGTCAAACTTGACTAAAGAGGGAGCGAACGGCAGGGTGTGTCAGTACATGTGACTGCTTCTTTGACTAGTCTGTCGTTGTTTTGTGTTAGGATGGTGCACAATACTACGGCTTGACCTCGTCAGGGGGAGTATTGACTTGTGAAAGTGGGCCAGGGGTAGCTCGCTCGGATAATTCCATCGACATCAAAGCGGAACTCTTGAAGGTGGAAGGTGGAAAAGCTATCCGTTCTTGGGAGGAGACATGGTTGATGGAGATTGTGATTCAAATTCATGGTGACTACGACAAGTATCATAATCTTCTCGTTCGAACCAACTTAGCCCAAAGCAGATCTTTGACAACACGAGACCTATCTCCTGTCTGAAATAATACTGTCAGAAAAGCTGGGGTCAGAAAAGTTAGAAGAGCCACGGTAAGAAGTTCAGTCTCATCAGTGATTTGAGAGCTTACACGAACGTAGGCTTGTCTAGCAAGCGCTCCAGCACTTCACGGTCTCAAATCCGGGCTCGCGGCAGCAATAGTTTTGAGCCACAAGCCATTGATACTTGATCTCGCCCTTTCTGCAGCCTTTGCCGGCGCTATCTGTGCACCTTCCACTAAACAGAGACTTAGCATTCCATCTTAGGGGACATATGCACGACTTGGGCTCATTGACTTAGCATGGGGGTGAAATACCTGCCGAGGGGACATGCTGAGCAGCCAGCTGAGACGACAGATGCGGCGCCGAGAAGGAGCGAGAGTTGAAGAAGGATATTCATTTTGGAGTGGTGCTTGAAACGGTTGGGCTCGTGAAGGTAGAAGTTGAAGCGTTGAATATGAGAATGAACTGGTGCGGTTGTGATATTTTTATTCGCAGATGCAGAAGTTATCAGCTTGGTTTATATACCATCGAGCCCGTCTGATTTTGTCCTATATCAGTCTGCCTGAAATCTCAGTTGCGTCGTATATTCACCGTCTCTTCGGCCAATGAGTCGACACTAAGCTTAGGGTACATGGGTTCGTGGTAGCAGAAACTGTCTTAAAATTGCGCCCCTACGATACGGTAAATTCTCTATTCTGTTCAGCAAGAGAACTCTAGATCACAGTGAGCTCTGGCCAAGTCGCGGTCCAATCTCAAGCAATATACTTCCTGGAGGAACGTGACCGTTAACCTTCCAGAATTAATCATACGGTCGAGAGCCGCAAAGCTTATCATGGCTAACCCGTCTTGGCAAGCGTGCAATAGGCACGGTCAGGATGTTGGCGTTCCCCAACAGACTTCGCATAGTCCTATATCTGCAATTATCTTTTGCAGTTGCGAGACTTTGTCTGCCAGGCGCTAGAACTTTTTGCTGAGTGCTAGGATTGCGATTAGGGTCGCGGTAATACCGAAGGGAGAGTATTTGCAACTAAAGATGTTCGGCTACCTACTAAAGGCAGCACTAAAGATGTGAAAAGTCTCCGTCTCCTCAAAATTTTGCTGTCGGTTATTCAAAACTGAAATTTCAGGTAGAAATTCGGCCCTATTTCCTGCAAATGGACTCTCCTGCCGTGCGTCAGTTCGACAAGGCAGCAATTAGGCTAAACTCGACCAGGCAGAGCAGAATCACAGGCCATGTCTAGCCAAAGTATCCCTAACTATCCATGAATGAGGAAGTACCTCATGAGGAAATCTCAAAGCCATATGGAGGTCTAAGAGATGGAGTAGTCTAGGAACTATGGTCTACCATAGAATCCTTGAGTCTTGAGCGCATTGACGGCCATGTCATAATGTCATCCGATCAACTGCTCTTTGGAGTCTTCTATCAGACGAGGTGATTCAGATAAGATACGTGATTTAATGGCCTAAATGTCAATCGAGGCCTGTCTTTCACCTTGACATCGGTTTCCAATCTGCGCGGCGGGCTGCTTTACCAGTTTCCGTGCAGCTAGCCTTAAGCCCACCTCCTTATGAATTGTGAACATAACGCCATCAATGATCCGCCTACCACCTACCACTCCAATTCTTTCTTACTTTCGCTATTACAACCTCCTTCGGCGATTCTAGGCCGCGGTTTTCGCCACTCGTAGACACCGCCTCTCTTATCAAACGCGCTTTTGTCCCAAGCCACCTGCTGCATGGCCTTCTTCACTCCAACATCAAGCAAGGACTCGCTCTTCTTCATCGGTCCATTTCCCTTGTCCAGGAAGCGCAGCTTCTCGTCCAGCAGCAAATAGCTACCAGCCATTGTCTCATTGTCCTCGGGCACGTAACAAGGCAGGTGATTGTGTCTCCCGCAAAACGTCTGCCATTGCTCCTCTGAGATGAGGAACTTTCTTGCGTCACGCACCCGCGTCTCATCCTCGTTCTCGCCCTCTACAATCAGGCACTGGAATACCTTCCATCGGAACGGTGCCAACTGGGCAATCGTGTCTGCCATGTTCTCATTCCAATTGTAGATGTTGACAACAGTGTTGGGCTTGAACATGATGTTGTACTCCTTGCACCACTCGGCAATGCGAAATACCTGTGCGATATGGTTCTTTTCTCCCTCCGCTCCGCCATTCTCCCCACGACCGATTTCCTTATTCGTCTTACGGACGAACGAGTCACAGGAGATTGCCCGAATGTCCAGATACCGGCCATACTCGCGGAGCCATTTCTCTTGGATTTTGCTTCCGTTACTGACGATGCTGATGCTTTCGATGTCCAGATCTTCCTTGCAGTACCGCAGCAGCTCGCCCAGGAATTTCGGATGAAGGAATGGCTCGCCGCCGGCAAAATTGAGCTTACGCATGCCGGCGTCCTTCAAAAGACGCATGCCATGCTTGGCTTCGTCCAAAGGAAGAATGTAGCCTGAGGTGTTGGTGTGGAAGCAGAATCCGCAGGCATAGTTGCATTCGCGGGATGGGAAATAATTGACAGAGACAGGTGCGTCCGGGTCGTCCACTGGGGGCTTGGGTTTTGACTCCTGGGTGACGGCTGTCTTCGGTCGATCAGAGCGGGATGTGTCGGCGTAGCGGCGTAGTGAGAAATAATAGGTTATTGCTAGCACAGCAATACCCATGACCCATAAGAAGGGAGGTAGCATTGAAAAGGTCGATAGCGCCGTATGGGCGGCCATAGTTAGGATTCCCATGATATCGTAGGACTCATAGATTTTCCTTGTTGTTCCTAGGTGTAGTCTCACTGCAAATGTTAATAAACTCGGCAACAGTGTATTGAACAAATTATTAGGTACACTCAGTGAAGCCCAACTTGAACGAAATCGGATATTATTATATTTTAGGGCTTCCAATCAACACAGAGGACTTCTTGATTAACCCCTCAGATGTCGGTATCACAAGTGATTATGTAATGTGACAGCTTCCATAGGCCATCACGGCCATCCAATTGCGATATGGGACGAGGATGATGCACCTTCCCTCCCGACGTTGCTAGACCCGCCAGCACACTGTCAACGTCAACCACACGAGCAAACAGTTCACCAGCCACATCATCATGGGCACCACCAAGGCTCCGGATAGACGGAAGTTTGCAGTCATCTTCGTTCTCGGTTGGTCACCTATCGGTCCTAATCGGTAGATAGAATGCAAGCCCGCTCACTATCGTGATAGGAGCTCCCGGCTCGGGGAAAGGCACGATCTGCACCCATCTGTCCCACAAAAATGGCCTGTTACACTTCTCAGTGGGAGATAATCTGCGCACCTGGATGAAGGATGAAGGGAACCGCCAGACGCCTCTCGCCGCTACGATTCAAGATAAGCTAGACAACCAAGGATTCCTCACGTCCACGGAGTTGAACCCATTCCTGGGCATTGCCATCGAGGATGCAATGCGGCATGATGATTTGAATGGGATCTTCATCGACGGATTCCCGAGATGCGAGGAGCGGCTTGCGTCGTGGGCGCAGTGGCCCTTCCAAGAACGCCTTCCGTTGGTATGTTGATGCGGATATGGCTCAAACATATGGGCTACAACGACTAACTCGAGCAGGAGGGTCACCCAAAACCCGACATCGTCTTATTACTCAATGTGACGAAGGAGAACGCAGAATCGAGATATCTCGCGCGCGGCCGCGACAAGAACGACAGCGGGGAGAAGTTCACGAAGCGGTTCGCAGAGTATCTGGAGGAAGGACCGCCTGTAGAACGACACTACCGCCAAGCAGGATTGCTAGTCGATGTAAGCGTTACCGCCTTTCTATGCATTCCCAACTGGAATCCTTCTGACATACTCTCAGATCGACAGCAATGGCACCAAGGAAGAGAATATCGCAGGGGTAGAGAAGACACTGGGAGACAGCGCATTGTGGAACCGTGTGGTAGGCCAGGGTACGGAGTCGGTTTTTCTCGTATCCCACCGGTGACCGAGTGTTGTATGACACCCGATACTATGTGTACACCGACCTCCTCGAGAAGACCATGTCGATACAAGGCAGTTTCCAACTTTGTCTCACTTGCTGCTACATCCGCCAACCGCAGACGCTGACCTTTTTCTGTTGCATCTACCCGAAGTCGGCTAGCGAATCCAGCATAGCTCACCATCACCGGACTACTCCTCATCTTCGTGGTATGATGCCAACAAGAAGGAGCCTAGCCTCCGCAGGAAGTGCCAGGAGCAATGACACCTTCATACGGAGTCTTTGTCACCCTTCAACAAAGCTAAGTACATGGATTACTAGAACGTTTGAAACCTGATGAAAGATCTTCTTACACGCTTGTTGATAGAACGTAGACAACACTTGCTAAATTGCTCGGCCCTCAGACACGTTTCCAGCTCTGGGTGAGGTAATATATACGACCTTATGTAGATGGATCTTTTGCATTGGGTATAATATGAACTCTTCTCAAGTGATAATTGGTCTGGACGAGAACCTTCCTGGTCCTCCGGAACCGAATATAGTAATATACCTCGACAAGTTCGCCGGGGTTCTTCTATCACGGCTCATGGTGACACGATACTGTGAGGAATATGTCCCTTTCAATCCTAGCTTTGCCCAACGCCTGAAGTGAGGCGCCTATAGCTCATGGAAGTCAGCCTACGCGATCCTCCTCCAAGCATCACAGTGGCACAGATCAAGGTTCATGAGGCCTTTTGTGCTTCATAGGTAGAATCCTGCATGAGCTTCATCTAAAGTGCACGATGCCCATGCTGTTCTTTGATACTTCGCCCGAGTTCCGAGTGAAGTGCAAGTAAATCAAGACGATGTAACACTGAGGATCAACAGCGGTGGGCTGAGACGAGCGCAAAATGAAGCGCCTTGGCTGACGTGTGTCAAGGGCTACTGGCTTAGAGTTTAGCCCCAACACAGTTCTATGTCATGAGATTACGTTCAAGTATCTGAAAGTATCAAGTAACAGCATATTTGCGTCGAATGGGTGCAGATCGCGGCCTCATAGGCAGACTTGATTACTACTAGCAAGTAGGTAATGAAACGGACATAGCTATGCTGAGCCGCCAGGCACACAATTACTAGCTTAAAGAGAAAGACAGTCCCCTGCATGTAGGGCAGAGACAACAAGGCTCGATTATTCGTATGGACCGGAAAGCAGCCGGAGTGGGGCGTTGTCGTTGAAGTTTGGCTCTCATGTGAGTAAGCTTACCTCACTTCCCGCGCTACATTTGCTCCGTACGCGACTTGATTGGCTCTTATAGGGGACGGCCCGGTCCATCTTGCTGACACAAATTGTATTTTCCGTTGAACCGATGGCAAGGGACCTTTGCTTCTCGGAATGACATCCAATCAGAGGAACCCGGGTGTGGCAATGAGTCTTCCAAGTCAGGTCGATTAATCGAAGTGCATACTCCCTAAAGCAAGGTATTGAAACCAGTTGTGGATATGACGATCGGTCATGTTCTAGTCTAAGTGCTTTGTAACACAAGAGCCTGATCCACAATAGCATCAATCTGTGGTGGTGATGGACTTTTGTTGTCTTCCTACCCAGCGTCTAGGTTCATGGTCGTGAACACCGTGGTACGAAGTTGGCACTAGCACCGGGCGAAGCTATCCTGGAAATAACTGGGATGACAACTATGGACTATCGAGTTGACATCAACTCTTCCTCGGACTTCCAGAATGATCAGCCATGTCTAGATGCTTGAGAAGCTTCTATAAAAGGTTGACTTGGTTCACTGAAAAGCTCTCATCTCTTCTCTATCATCATAATCACTTCGTACTTACTCACATTACTCAAGAAACAACACAATTCCTAATTCAAACCTCACCTCCTCCCAAAAATGTACGCCTCCAAGATCTTCCTCGGCCTCATCGCCACCGTCTCGGCCATCGACATCTACGGCTACCGCAGCAACGAAAAGTGCAGCGGCGGTGACTACGTCGTCTGCACAAACGCCAACCCGGACAACTGCTGCGTCCGCGCCTCTGGCGACGTCTTCCGCAGCATCGGCTTCCGCGCCATCCCGACCAACTGGAGAATCATCGGCCGTGCCTTCAGCGGCGGCGACTGCAAGAACATCAAATACGTCGCCCAGTCCAACGGCGCGGCGAACGTCTGCTGCGGCGGGAGCAACTACTCTGGCGGCAACTATGGGTTCGCTACCAAGAAGCGTGATGAGGGCGCCGCTGAGGATGGGACCTGCGCCGCTTCTGCCGGGGGCTGCACTTCCGTTGCGAAGGGCGACTTGATGGTCTTTGAGAACGGACCCAAGTATAACATGACTGGTCTTGATGATGCTCTTTACACTGAACTGGTAAGTACAGCCGTGTATTTGGTAATATCTGCTCTCTGAAGTTCATATATACTGACATTGAGTTCTTTTCTTCTAGTAAGCTATAGTGCCCTTCATCTTCATGGATCGAATCTCCTCCCGTCTCCCTTCCTAGCCCTTCCATTGTCACATTTACTAACCTCTTTGTTACCAACAGTATTTCTATCTGGGAGAACGGCGGAAGCTCGGATGAGATCCCGGCTAAGTTCGATGCCTACAAGTTTGAGTAGAATCTCAATCAAGGGGTTGGTCAGGACTCAGGTCAGGAGAGGCGTCCAGGCGGTAACCCACTCATCTCCCCGGTCTCACCAAGACCACGTCATGATCATCTACCCCCGTCATAATTTTCTTCACATTCTAGTATACAGCTTTTATCATTCCAAGTCTTTGGGGACAGTATTGCATGGACACGTAGATAGCTAGCTGCTCATTTCAACAATGGCGTATCCGTCTACCAATACAAGCAACATCTATTCTCTCCTCAGCGCAGTTCAACTTCGTACAACGATCGGATCACTCTTAGTCGGCAATTGGGTTAAAGCACTTTGCGATCTGGGGCACGCTTGCTACAGAGTCAATAAGTAGGAAGAACGGACATATACGGGTTAGGTGGAGCAAGTTGCAGTATCGGCCCCAAAAACATGTATGAGCCCCGTAGGATTTGCCCAGAATCTTTATTCCATCATTCAACGCCTTATGCACAAGAAAACATTCTTCACACGATACACGTAGTCGAAACATGGCGAGTACATCTTCCACTAAGCCAATACCTTCATCCAAGCAACACAGCCTCGGCAACCACAACCACCTCCCCTCAACCCAAACCCTCACAAAACTCCAGAATCCCACATCCCTCCCCTCCTCCAGTCCCCCTCCAACACCTCTCTCAGATCTCTCCACCACTCCCAAAACCTCTCTATAAACCCACCATCCTCACCCCTCCTATCATCCCCAATGAACACTCCCCACCCCAGCGTGCTGAGATCCCTCGACACCAGCGGATTCGGACATCTACAGGACAACATCGTTTCAGATGAGGCAGAGACATCTCCGGAGAGAACGCCGAGGCAGGTTCTCAGTCGACACCGCTGCGCCCAGTCGATCGTCTCGGTTGCAGCGTCTGGCGCTGAGGGCGGAGATGCCATTGCTTGGGTTTCAACTTGCTTTGTAGTGCTACCGCAAAAGAGACAGACGCATGGCGTAGCGGGAGGTGAGTTCTCAGGTGATGAGTCCACGGAAGACAATGCTGAATGCTTGTTTAGAGACCTTGGCTCTGGTACCCGCAGATCGGAGAAAATTGGTGGCGGAAGTTGATCTATGTTGGGAGATTCTGGACTGGAAAGAAAATTGAGATTTAATCATAAACCGAGGTTGCGTGTGTCCTCCTTCCCAGAGGAAAACAATGAATGGAATAAAGTCGACTTCCTGGGTACATGTAGGTAAGGGGTGTGGTTGGCTTCAAGAACAGTCAGAAGTGAGGCTGTGAGGACGCTGGTGCGTGCTTGAGTCCTACTAATTAGTCCTACCTTTAGGCTACTAGCCCCGTGAAGGATGAGCATCCACGCCGGTTCATCAGGACTTTAGCGCATTGGCAAGATGAGGACGCCTGCGACTGCGATGAATCTGACAGGGCTTTATCCCGACTAAAATCATGATTATCAAAGACGTCGCAATATTTTGGATCTTCCACAGTATCAGTGCATCATTCGATATCCAAGAGTAGCAAGGTCAAAGCAGGGCATGGTCATGATGTACTCCCGCCTAAGATGCATTGCATCGCAAGGTTAAATTTGACAGTAAGCATAGATTTCGCAGGTTTCTCATCGAAGGTTTGTATGTTTTGATCCACCGTACCCGTTCCCCGGCGTTAAGGTAATATACAAGACCACATCTTCACATTTCACATTATTACACGAATGCTTGGATACCAGTGATGGCACGACCCAGAATGAGACCTGTTTCTTAGGTTAGTAAGGGATATCCCAGAAGCACATGGCCATGGGAGCAACTCACTGTGAATATCACTCTGTCCCTCGTACGTCTGCGTTACGAAAAGGTTGGCGACGTGACGCCCAATACCATACTCGTCACTGACGGCATTGCCACCAAAGATCTCTTGCAGCACGCGCGCATTCTGCAGGGCCCGATCGCAGTTCTGGCGCTTGACCATGCTAATCATCTCGGGCGTCGCTTTGCCCTCGTCCTTGAGTCTGCCGACCTGGATCGCGGCAACGGTACCGTATGCCGCGTCCGTTGCAGCGTCGGCCAGCTTCTTCTGCACGAGCTGGTACTTGGCGATGGGGTTTCCCTTGAACTGCTTTCGCTCAAGTGAATATGTCCTAGCGCGGGCAATGCAGTCCTCAAGGGCACCAATGACGCCTAGGGAGATACCGTATCTCGCGCTGTTGAGGCACGAGAAGGGACCTCGCAGTCCTTCGACGGAGGGGAACATGTTTTCCTTAGGGACGGGGACATCGTCGAGCTGGATCATGCCCGTAATGGAGGCTCGCAGGCCGTTCTTGTTCTTGATGGCTGGCGTCTCGAGAGTACCGGGCGGGCATTGAGACCGTTCAACTAGGAACCCTCTGATCTTGCCCGTTTCTTGCAGCTTCGCCCAGACCATCAAAACATCGGCAATGGGCGAGTTTGTGATCCACGTCTTGGCACCAGAAAGAGAGTAGTAGCCCTCCTTGGTCGGGTGAGGCTTGGCCGTCGTCTCCATGGAGCCGGGGTCGCTGCCGTGGTTGGGCTCTGTCAAACCAAACGCGCCGAGCATCTTTCCCGTGGCCATCTTTGGCAGGAATCTCTCCTTTTGCTCCTCGGTACCGAACTCCGCGATGCCACCCATGACCAGCGACGACTGGACGGACATGCCAGAACGGTAGCCACTGTCGACTCTCTCAACGGCCTTTGTGATGAGTCCTCCGGCAACGGTGGAGACACCAGCACATCCATAGCCCTCGATTGTTGCTCCGAGGAGCCCCAGTTCGCCCATCTCCTCGAGGATCTTCTGGTCATATTGCTCGTCGCGGTAGGCCTCTACGGAGAGTGGTCAGTGTAAGCCATGGAAGTTACCAGGAAGGGGGGACGTACGAAGGACACGCGGCAGCATGCGCTCCTGGCAGTATCGCTCGGCCGTCTCAGAAATGGCGATTTCCTCCTCAGTCAAGAGGTTCTTTGCGTTCAAGGGATCCTCCCAGTTGAAGACCGGGTCAGAGGCGGAGGCGAAGGTTCTCGTGGCGGGCAAAGTGCGCTTTGCGGCGCATCGTGTCGCGCATGTTCTCAAGGCGTTGCGATACATTCTGGTTACTACTGATCAATTGACTCTTCCTCACGGTGGGTTGGGGAGAAATTGTGCCGCCATGATGGCGGGAACATGGTCTTGAAGCCCGGGCACGGGGCGTCTTCCCCGCCAGGAGCTGTCCCGAGCAGCATCCGAGGCACAAAAGGTGTCGTATCTGATTGGCCGGATGGTTGAAGATGATGATTACATAATGAACCGGTGTCGGCGAATGACGTCGTCGCGGACTACCTCCGCAAGGAAGTGAAGCCGTCTTAGATGGGATGCGGTCAAGGTGCCCGTTATCTCCGTCTTGAACAGTAGCCGGAATTAGTTCCGAATAGTGTGTGTGTGTGCTTGCTGAGTGCTAGACACGATTCCCCAGAATGTCGGTCATGCAATGAAGCATTTCGGGACATTAGTTGGGATTGTTGGTAGCTAGGCACAGCCACAATCTGGATCTTGGGAATTGATGATCGCGAGACCTGCTTGAGAGAGGGACTGTTGCTGGAAAAAGGAAAAGGCCGGAGCAGGGGAGGTCAAGTACAAAAATAGGAACAGGCTGGGTGCGGATTTGGGGTTGAAAGGTTGAAACATGCCAGGGCAATGCCTTGGCCCTTTGTTCGGCAGCAGCCGGCTGAGTTCAGACCCGGGATGAGATGCTCGAGAGATACATGTGGTTTTGGGCACTGCTCGGTAGCCAAGTCAGGTACCGGGTTCGGGCGACACCTAAGAGCCAGGCGTCATTCGCGGTAACCGGCGGGCAGCCATGGGATGGCAGATGCAAAAAGGCAAAAAAAGTACCTAGAGTGCAGGCAGAGATGCGAGGAGTTGGTGTTGATGGAAAATGACTGCCGCGAAGAGGATGGTGAGTGTCAAGAACGGCACATGTTGTACGAGGTTTCAGGTACGCCATATCCCATAAGGATGAGCTGATTCCGGAACCCGGGGTGTTTTCTTGCTTCAACCTTGAGAACTGATGCGTCGGTCAGTGTGAGCTACTGCGTAGACGGCATCGAGGGTCAAACCCATCACCCAGTTGGGTAGGATGCATGAGATGTCTTTTCTTTTGCCATCCAGGTAGCAATCGATAACACTAAGGTACGCGATTACTTGCGTAGCACGCGTACCTAGGTAGATGCAGATACTTAGGTACCGGTACTCTGGAGTCTGAGCTGCTGTGTTGGTAGAAAACGAGGGAACCGCTTCGGCCGGGTTGGGAACTGGTGAGGCTGAGGCAGCTGCTGAGTCATTGGGTGGCATTACCAGAACCGCCACCAGTCAGCAATTGTCATCAGTTAGGCACTATTGCTGTCAAGTGAGGATGTGGCGGTGCACGGGTTAAGGTATTCTCTGAGTGCTCTTCACAACTGGAAGAAAGTTGCCACAGAACCACTATTTGTTTGGTTTGAAATGAAACCTGTCGCCCGGTGACTGAGGCTGACGGTTGAGCGTGAATGGCCAATGGCGACTGAATACCTACACAGGAGGATGAGTAGAAGTTTGATGGGTGTCATCGTTTGTCAACTTCCCGATCCCCTGGTGGACAGACTGAGGCGGTAATGACCAATTAACAATCATAAATCATTAGTCACCAGCCACATTTGCATTTGCTGCGCCAGGCTTCTGCTTCTCTCGACGCTCACAAATCGAATGGAATCCGTGGAAAGTAATACTGCATCCAGAGCCATTCAGGTTTCAAGTCTAGAAGTAATGAGTACCTTTTGGGAGTAAACTTGGAGCAAAGGTACTTTGCGGGCGGCTACCTTCCTGCCCGGTCGTGTCAGTGAGTGGAAGGAAGTGGATGGTGGCAGCCCGAACCTGACGGGACGGGAATGGAAGCCATGGTTCGCGCTGGGCAGCCTCAGTGCCTTCCTTTAAGCCTTAGGTTTGGCGCTCTGCTCCCCCTCCTTCCCACTTCCTGCCTTCCATTTCCCCCTCCAAAGTGGCTCCTGCCTACCCACGACTCACCCCTTCCCGTCATTTTTCGCCAGGCCCGACCGCTGACTTCCTTTCTCTCCTTCCTTTCCCTCCACCCCATTTCAATCTCGACATCAATCTGTAACGGGACCGCCACGAAGCGAATCGATTCCTTCACGAACATCGCGTAATATCCTTCACGGGCGATATACCGAACGACTTTATACACACGATCGGGCTCTTTTCTTTTCGGGAGCATCTTCGTCGGGGATAAATCTTTCCTCGTTCAGGTACCGTACGCCCCTCCCCACCACCAGCACATGATTTGCACCCAAAAGACTGTCACATTCACGTTTCCCACGACACCTGCTGCTGCTGCTGCATCGACGCCGGCCACATCGAGAATCTTCTTCGTCTTCGGCATACATATATATCGAGTGCCATACCCAAAAAGACCTTGGTTCCTTTGGCATTTCCTTGCATCTCGACACATATTACTCCGTTTCGCTTTCTCAGCCGACGCAAACGACAGCAGACCAGCAGCAGCAACAGTGCAGCCCACCACCCCTCCACCCACGTCTGCCCGCATCCTGCATCCAAAAAAAGCCCACCACCGCCGACCGCTTTCGCTGACTTTTGCCCCTCACAACAACAGAACATAGCATTTGCGCTTCGGCGATCGACCATCTTCTAGATACCCCAAATCACAAACCACATCCAAAATGGCTCTTAAGCGCATTAACAAGGAGCTCACTGATCTCGGCCGGTACGTTGCCTGCACACTTTTCGTCATTTAAACTCGCAGCCTTTTTGTCGCAGCCCGAGACGTCAGGTGGGGCCATCGGGAGCGGGGTCTTCTTCAACAAGGACTGCTGTAACTTTTCTGCTCTTGATGGCCACTGATGTTGACGGCGATGGCGGCATCGAGCCGACGAGTACGCTTCAAAAGATGCACAATGCTGACCTCTTTTCTTTGACAGTGACCCGCCCTCTTCCTGCTCTGCCGGCCCCGTCGGCGAAGATCTGGTACGTCGACTACATCTTTCCCGATAAGCGCCCGCTGTGGTGATGCCTTGAATCATGACTCAGCCGAGCACGAGATCACGGATTCTCAGTGCTCGCGATGGGATATGTAGACATTTGCTGACCAGATTCTTATAGTTCCACTGGCAAGCGACGATTATGGGACCCGTAAGTCTATCCCTCGCCTCGAATGCTTTGTTGGTTGGACCTGGCACTGGTACCCGAGATCCAGCCAGCATACCAGCTGAAAACAATGACAAGAAACAAAGCATGTGGCTAACATCTACGTTCAGGGCGACTCTCCCTACTCTGGCGGCGTTTTCTTTCTCGCCATCCACTTCCCTACCGACTACCCCTTCAAGCCTCCCAAAGTCAACTTCACCACTCGCATCTACCATCCCAACATCAACTCGAACGGCAGCATTTGCTTAGATATTCTGCGTGACCAGTGGAGCCCGGCGTTGACCATCTCCAAGGGTACGTCATCTTATAGCTCACCTCAAGCCCAACGTAGACATAACGCTAACACGTGATAGTCTTGCTGTCCATCTGCTCAATGCTGACGGACCCCAACCCCGACGACCCCCTGGTGCCCGAGATTGCACACGTCTACAAGACGGACCGCGCCAGATACGAGGCCACTGCTCGCGAGTGGACTCGCAAGTACGCTATTTAGACGGTGCTCGAGGCATGATGGTTGGACGAGTATGACAGGCGACGGCTTTCCTCTCTCTCTTCGACAGCTCTGGCGTACGATTAGGTCATGGTCATTGCTCTGCGTTGCGGTTTGGGGATCTCTTTCGTTTCACCAGCACACAGAAGACGGTTCAGCCATCGAAACAAAACACTTGACGGCGGATTGGCATTCTCGAGAAGAGGTTACGCGGGCAATGTGAATAGAAGGCGGACCGATCAAACAGTTAGCAGCACAGGTACCACGTACGGGTTTTCATACGGCAAGGCTTCATGTTTCTACTGCATTGACGCTGCATTGCTGCGTACGTTTTGGTTGACACCTCAGAAGAGACGACTGGTAGTTATCGTACCCAATTCTTTCCGTGATAATGTGTGTTCGTGTCCCAGGCTTGGTGTTCCGCAAAGCCAGTGTAGGTTGCCAAATATCCCCGACGCCTGAATAGCGACGGATAGTTAAGGTCGGTGAGGGTCAGTCTTCGTTGATATCGGGCTAGAGTAGATGACGTTGCCCAGGATTTAGCCCCCAAAGGCTTTCTACCTCTGTAAGTGATCAACGAGGCCGAGCGATACCAATGTAACATCGGTCTATCCCAGACGAAGACCATTGACTGCCGGATGTCGTGTTCAAAGGCCCGTCCATGGGCGGTTTGATACATTCCGGATTCTCTCGCAGAGCGGAACGCGTCTTCCGTGGCAAGGGGATAAGGTCTAGATGTGCCGGGTTGACTTGTCTGGGTCCAGTGATCTGGGACGCCGGCACTGGGGACCCGGGATCCGAGAATCGTGGTGATGGGTTAGGGGAGGTGTCCCGTGGGTGCTCGTGTTCAATCTATGCGTGATGGATGGGAGATGAGGCTTGATGGGGTTCGTGACAAGAGGGTTGTCATGCTGTTAGTGCTCGGTAGAATGCCCGAGGAAAAGGCATTACCATGTTGAATCTTCAAGGGAACCATAAGACGAGCTATCAATCTCAGAATCGACAGAACATATGGGAGCGTATCGCGAGATGCAAGAGACAAGTACCAGGAGCTCCGTCATTTGGTCTGTGTTATTCAAGAAAGAAGACGTGAGAAGGACTTCTTGCCTGTTTAGCCATGTTCTGATGCTGGATGAAATAGGTTGCTGGTGTAGCTGTTGACATTTAATCTCAAATGAAAGACCCCTCGCGTCTTCGGGAATTGATAGATAGCATGTTGATTTGAGGTGGCAACCCCTAGAGATTTTGCCTTGTATCCAGTATCAATGCCATCAACAGCTGGGGATCGCAACGCAAGGAGAAGATTTGAAGAACCGCACAGGATACTTCATGTTCATGAAAGAGACGGACATGAAGATTGGGTGACCAGCTAACATGCAGAGCTGGACATTTTCCGACCTCGTCTCCTCCGCAACGATCCACGTGGATGATAGATTGACTTTCTGGACGGATGACTCTTGGAGAAAGGGATGGCAGTACGAATAGTAATCAGAACGTTGTACCAGAGACCGATGATTGTCCTTGGCAAGGCACATCTCCCGTCCTGGTTCAACACCAGGCCACGGGTACAGCCTCAAACTTCCTACCAAGTCTCATCCAACGCAAAGATATCTTATTGATCACGTTGTTAAGAACTAGGTAAACTGCCACGGGCGCAGATTGGATCGTGTTCGGAACATTATCATACGCATCACATAAAGACGTTGCAGAAAGACCTTGAACTAGGACCAGCCTTCAGAAAGGCTAGTGGCCTGCGGGCTCGCCGTTGCTTGGGTCTTTCCTCACATTGACCAGTAGAGCCAAAAAAAAAAAAAAACTTGCACGACATCAGTCCAAACGAAACGTGTGAGGCCTAGTTTGGAAGTGGTGGTGGCCCTCTTTGGCCGAGGCTGGAAAGAGAATCATTTGCCTTTACGTAGGTAGCCGGGCGCTGGCAAAGATGAGATGGACGTGTGTGGCGATGGAGAGCTCATTCTTCCGGGGAAGGAAGTGGTGTGCTTGAATCGAGCGAATCGACTAGCTCAAGAAGAGCGGCAATGGCACTGGTATCCAGGTATCCGTGTGCGCGCGGCTCTTTTCCAGCCGCGGAAGGGGGCACGGAGTTTCACTTGAAGAGTAGAACAAGTAGGTGAGATTACTTAAAACGGCCGGTAGATGCGAGAGGGCCGGACGGGTAGGCAGAGGCGAGCAAAGACGGGAGCCTGTGCCCTGCGTCTCTCTTCAAGCGTGTGCCCTACGCTGATCTCGACACGCAGAAAAGCGAGCAAAGGGTGAATGATGTTTAGGAGAGGGCAATGCTGGTGTTTTTTGAAACTTGTTGATTTGAGGTCGAGGGCTCGAGTGTTGGTGGTGTACCAGACGGCCATTGTTCGGAACAATCGTCTCCAGTGCAGTGGGACGGAAGAAAACGGGTCTCGCGTTCGAGAAGTGTTCAAAGGAGAGGGCGGTGTCCCGACGCTTCGGATAGTTGTGCCGTGTATGTCGACTCGAGGTGTGTCCGGTAGAGGTCGAGCGATTATCGCGCGTTTTGTAAAGGTGGGAATGGAGTCTGTTCAGGAGACAGGGGCTTGTGTCGTTCGGATTTCAAGGGACTGGTCGAGCGACGGAGGAGTTCCTGGCCCGTGGTGAACAGGTGGTCTTGCTTGTCGAGCAAACAAGGTCGAATCTTGACAGGCTGAAGAATGCAGGACGTAATTAAGAGTATTTCCCGAGACTTGGAAGAGACACATTGAATGAGTCTGTATCAGATAGATGGAATGAGGCTGATAGAGACATAGTCTGAACTGTGGGGATCTTCAGCCGCTGGGTTGACGATGACATGCAGATTGACGCAGCAGAGCCCGTAACAAACTGAAGGGGCAAACTTTCAGAGGGGCGGCAGATTGATAATCTAGCCGTGTATGATTGGAGGGATGGATTTGCTCTTTGAGTAGCCGAGTACAAACGACTTCGGCTTCAGTTGCATGCAACGAGGATCTTCACTGAGCTCGCCGGTAGACGCTCTTACCAGCACGTTGTAAGCCAAGGGCAAGAGCAGGTGAATTTGTAAGCAGACACAAACCACGAGCCTGAGTTATCAACGAGCTGACAAGATCATGTCTCGCCGTAGTTGAAGCAGGGGAAACGAGGGGCATCCACTACGTAAGCAGAGAGCGGCAGCGTGCCATTGAAGCTGGCTTGAGGTTGCCAATGAATTACGTTGGCGGTGGGAAGGGGTAGAACAGCTTCAAATATGAACTGATTTTTGCATATGCCGCTACGTGGAGATAGCCCTGAGTGCGTAGATTGTGAGTGATCTTCCACTAGGATGTTGAGTGGTTGACGGGGGATCAATCTGCGCGGTGACGGGACGAGATGTGCAGGCGGGAGGCGAGCCAGAAGTTTGGCAATCAGCCGCGTAGTGACAGATGGCGAATGTGTAGCCGGTGCCTCTCTGAATGCGATCCAGGGCAGGGCGAGTCGAGGGATCCTAGCCAATGAGAGTGCTAAGAATATCCCGGCGTCAGTGAACGGAGACGGGAGAGCGGTAAGAAGGGGGAGTGGAATGTGGAAAGGGGGGAGTGTGGGTTTGAAGCCATGTGGTTTGTGAGACTGAACAAACGAGGTATTGGCTAGGAAGAGCGAAGAAGAGAATTACTAACGATGTTGTTGAAAGTCCAGTCAAGTGCTGCCAAGAGGGGAGCCAGGTCGGTTCCGCCGCTTAGTAAGAAGCTGAAGTGTGTTAAGGAAGGCCGTACACTAATACCCAAATGACTAACAGTGTTCCGAAGGCGTGATGATGAAAGGGCCAAAGTAGGCACCGTAGCAGCGATGCAGCGCCACAATCAGTAAAAAGGCAGGCAGTCGAGAGTGAGTGAGAGTCGAGAGTTGACAGCCTACACAGTAAGAGGGAAAAGTTGTGAAATCAGAATTGTGTCAAAGCATCCCTGGCGAAACAAGCTGTGACACGGGCTTGGGCGACAAATCGAGACGCACGCCCCTCTTTCGCACCTCCGAAACGACTCTTTGTCCAATCAGAAGGGCAAGGAATGAATCCCCGTCAAGGGTACGTATCGTATTCTGAAGCTTGCCCTTGTCTTGTTTGGGAGCCACTGCGGTGACGACTAACGAGGATTCGAGGAATAGGTGGCTTTCATCAAGACTTATGACCTGTATCTGTTGGCTGGGGGCGTATCGATGTGCAACTGGGCGGTTTGGAAGTTTGTACTCCGTAGACCGCGGGGGATTATGGCCTCATTACCCACATGTGATGCGGGAGACCAGCCATGTTCCAAACGTGGCCCAAACAGCAACGAGGCGTAGGCGACCGTGATGAGGCGGGAGGGACTGATGAGATATCCTGCAGTGCCCTATGGCATATTGAATATCGACAACATGTTCTTGTGTTGTGAGGATTCGTCGTATCTGACTCCTGGTGGTCCGGTGGGATGGCCATCGCCAGGGGCCCAGAGGAACGATGTTGTGCGAAGAAGCGAATCATCCGCATCCCTCGCTATGTGTGGGTTATTTCGGCATGCTCCGTGATGGCAATATGAACTGCAGGTGTCCAAAAGGCTTGGCTTCGTGACAATTAATAAGTTGTACGGGTACGGTCAACCACCGTCGTAGGCGGCTCGTTGTCGGCCAAAGCTCTTGATGCGGCCAGCGTCCGATTAAGCTGAGCTGGGCGAGAGTGGATTCCGGGAGTCGAACACGGTAGATGTGATTGGCGGACGAAGAGGGTGATCCCAGACTGCGGCTGTCCGAATAAGGTAGGCTTCTTTCGATATTAAGGTAGGGAACCTAGTGGGTGCGTGATGCCGTCCAGCCCGTTCTAACGGCCTTGTGTCCCAGGAACGGGAACGGGGCCCACAAAAGGAGGGCGGCGACAACCCAGGAAGCGCGTCCAAGCCGGGATCATGACTTTTGGGGGTCTGGATGGAATGATGTGAATGGTATTCTGCGGTGGTGTTTAATCGGCGGAAGTTGAGTGTACGGATAGTGTACGAAGTACGGAGTATTTGGGAAAGAAAAAGAGGGATAGAGTGAACCTGGAAAAGCCAAGACTCGGAAGACAGGCAGAGTCGGTGAGACGGATGGACCATTGGGCTTCGTTCCCGTGGCGGGGTTATCGTTTTCGATTGGGCCCATGGAAGGAAAGAATCTCCCCACGACCTGGCCACCTGCTGTATCTTTGATGCTATGAAAGTACTTGGCTGGCGCTTGCCTTGCTTGACCTGAAGCAACGTTCGTGATGTTTCTTGCCAGACTTGACAAGAGCGTCCGGTGAGTCTTGCCCTCGACGACGGACTTGAACCTTGTAGTCTAGTACTCTCATGCTTACGTATACCAG